CACACACACACACACACACACACAGCTCATTATCGTGTGCTCAGTGTGCATGGCAATGACTCTGGGCCATCTTGCAGCATGGTGAGACACAGGTCAATGGTTTGACATTGAAAACCACTGAGTTTGCTCCACCACCTCTGTCACAATACACCAACATCCAACTTTCATTCTATCAATGAAGCCTCGGCTCACTTACGATTGATACTTTTCAATAATCTCAGAGTAAGTGCATTAGGATCACTGGAGTACATGGAAAAAAAGGGGATTACAGAAGGTTAAAACTCCTTTGATTCAAATTTTTGCATATCTAATGCTCACATAGGCAGCATACAGAGTATGGGAGCTGGGGTTACATTTAATTCCAGAGGAAAAAAGGGAAAAACACAGTTTGTACTGACGCCATAAAACTGAGCTTACAGCTCGAGGCCACCTCAGGGTTTTAAAAAATGTGTATGAAAAACTCTGTCACTCTGAGGTAATGCAATCTTCTATTTCTATAGGCCACGTCCATCTCACAGACTTCAACATTGCAGCGATTGTCAAAGAGGACTTAAAAGCAACGTCCATTGCTGGGACCAAGCCATACATGGGTAAGTAATACATGTTTGACCTATTCAAAGCGAGGCTTGTAAAAACAATATGAAACTAGAATGGCACGCAGTAAAATGCAAACCTCTGCCGACGCCAACAGTCCTCTTACAATAAATCAAGCTGCACCAAATGGTAAATACTAATAAAATAATAAAAATTCTCCAGACCAAGAAAATGAGTTAAAATGTCAAAAAAATGCCCATTCTCGCAAAGTGAAGAGTGAAAAAAATTATTCCATCTGTCTGGATCTGTGCTAAAAATGTAATCTGTTGTTTTTTGGCCCCTCTCATCCTTTCACCAGGTTTCTTGATAATCCGTTTTTTGAGTAATCCCTTTACATACTTTCACATTACATGTCCATAACTACGGACTTTAAAAGTGGGATGACTGCTGGATGAAAAGAACAACCAAGGAGAAGTCATTCTTTATTTTGAGATCTGTGACCAGTATTATGTTCAGAGTCAGTAATGTCTTATCTGAGGCCCAAGAAAAGACACATCTAGAAATAAGTAAACTCTTACTGACCCACACAGGCACTATTTGTTGTCAGGTACACTATGAAGGTTAAAAGCTTTGAGAGCTTAGTGCTGTTACATTTATTAATTCCATGTTAGTGTCTTAATTATATCAACTTTTTAACAAAGTATATTTACTATAAACTAGAGCCATACTGGTTTTATTCTAATGCGTTAGCCCAAAACCTGACAGTAGGTTTTATCTCTTCCAGCACAGCTGCCCTTGTCCCCCTTGTGACTCATACATACAGTAGTTATCAGATCAATGTGGATTCAGGTCATATCAGACAGAAGCTAACAGGATTTGAGAGAGACATGAATAATGCGGCCATGTGGTTTTTTTTTCTCTGTGTATGACTGTGTATGCACTCAAACTGGTTCGTGTGTCCTGCCCTTGCAACCGAGAAACCTCTCTCAGAGGGTTCAGTAGATTAACTGCACTTTTTCCCTTCCCGTGCAAGAAGGCAAAGCAAACCTACCATGAAGGAGAGGAGAATGAGTGTGTTTGTATGTTGTGGCTGAGTGATTGAAATTCATCTTGACCCTTTGGAACAAGATTAGCAGCCGTTCCCATGGAATAGATTATTCGCTCCAAGAGGAGGGAGGAAAAAAATGACACAACTAACCAAATAAAGGGTTTTGATAGATTAACCTTCCTGTTTTTATATATTATTATTATTATTATATATTACAAAGACTTTGTAATGCTACACAATCTCAGTGCACTCACAAAAATAGATACCTTATCTTAATTGTGAGTGATCTCATAATTACAAGGTACGGTTTTCAATTGTATCTTCTTTTGTGAATGCAGGGCACATTAGTTTGGCTCCAAATGTTATCAGAGTAATTAATTCTCTGCAGAACCACAATAAAACCTCAGGTGTCAAGTGTTGGTTATGAGCTCAGCCTCCTCTGTAAAGTCTACTGTCGGTTTCTCCAGGCTCAGAACCAAAACTGAAATAAGCTGCAACATTCAAGACTGAATATAATGATGGACGGTGCTACTCCACTTCTGTATTTAGAGCAAAAGTCTGCACAGTAGCAATCAGGGGAAAGCGCCCTGGTACCAAGATCCCATTGATACACTCCCTCAACCAATCAAAAGTCAGTTTGTCATTCATGTACTTTCACCCTGTTATTAGAACATCAAATAAGTCAAATCAGTGTAATAACAACGCAAAAACCACCGAAACTAATTATTCAACAGGTACTTTGGCTTTTTAATTTGGTACATGTCCCTCCTCCTTAACATGGAGTAGATGGGTCTAATTCTGCCGCTGTGATCACGATGCTTTGGCGTCACTTTTGGGGAGCCGTCTTTTTGTCCATCTTTATAAACATCCTATTCAATTATGAAAAAAATTCAAGCAGAGCTTTAATTTAACCATCTAGTTTTTAAATAAATTACAATCCAGTGCCAAATACTATGCTTCTCTGCAACAGTCATGCTATGAAAACCTAAAATTATTCCTCACCATACTTCCATTTAATTTTGTTTTAATTATTTCTGTCCATCAGCTCCTGAGCTCTTTCAGACCTTTGAGGGTTCCCACCCTGGCTACTCCTTCTCTGTCGACTGGTGGTCGCTGGGCATCACAGCCTATGAACTACTAAGAGGACAGGTACACACACACACACACACACACAC